CCATATTGAAATGCCTTGATTGAAATAGCTAGCTCTCATTTATCCACGAGAGGAAATTCACGTTTTTTTTTTTTTTGGAACAAAGAGTCGTTTAATTTGTTCAACGGGCAGTTAGAGTCGATTTCTTTTCTTTCAAGGGTCTGACTTTTTTTACCAAGACATGTGTCAATAAACCAATGGACTCCATGAGTTTAAATTTAATTACATGTATCTTTTTCTGAATTAAGTAAAATTAATTTATTTTTAGTGGGTTTCGATTAAAGTCAATTTGGTCATTAATCTTGTCAAAGCAACATAGAAAAATGCCCTCTACGTGCGTGATTAGGTTTCTTATCCTACCCACATCATTTCCCCTTTTTAAATTAAAAACGCACTACCTAATCCTAGTCCATTTTTTTAGATATATAGAGGTTTGGGATTTAAGATTTGTTTCAAAATAGTAATATTTTTTTATATTTTATTTTTTTTAAAAAAAAGATTTTTTTTATTTAACCTTTTGATCCATTCTATCATAGTTTTTTTTTTAAAAAAAAATTAAAATAAGTAATTATATTATTCTAGGATGGAAGAGTACTACTCAAATTAGGTTTCTTATGTCATTGCATGAAATTATATGTCGTTTTGCTCTTACGGTTGTGAAAGGGATTCAATCATGCAAATCATTGTATATATAGTTGGTTAGCAACAACATGGAATGATTGCTACCAGTGGTAACATCAGGAAAGGGATGCTTTGCATTTTGCCACTTTTCAATCGTATGCTAATTAACAATCAAATTTCTTCCACGCCATATTTCAAACTATTGAGATTTTTAAGTTGAAAATTTTTTGTTCAAATCTTAAAAGAAAGTTTATGTAGAGAGAGATGTGATAAAGATATTGGCTATCTCTTGTATTTTTCTCGTTGTACATCTAATATGTAGACTATTGAATTTGAGAATTACGAAATATAATTTACATAGTTTTTAAATTTATTCTTCTCACCTCAATTTCTAAATATAAGATCTCTCCAATTTAGAAGCTAAAACGTTAATTATTTGAGACTCTTGGGTATATCCGTGTTTCCTAACCATGATCACATGTTGAAAGAGGGAGGAAACTAGAGTAAATATTAATTGGACAACCATGATTAACGAACTAAAGAATCGCTAATGACTTAAATAAGAAATTATGAGTTCGAGTTCATGATATACAAGTAAAGTAAAATAAAACATGTTTGATTGAAAAATGATTCTCTTGTATTATACAATTAAAATAAAAATATAATAAATAAATAAATAAAACGAAACTAAAGAACCAACGTTGTTTAAATGGTACAACAACGTCGGCCGAAAAGGACAGCACCACGACGCTTCGTTTCCCAAGTTCCTTTTCCATTGTTGGGCCAAGTGCGAGGGAGAGCCCATAAAGTACGCAGAATTTAAGGGCCGAGGCCATCTGCCTTGTTGGGTTAGAGAAGTCCGACTCATATCTCAAATGTTCACAAATTCATGCTTTTAATATCTTCATTTATTTATTTTTACATGAGTAGACACACTTAATCTCACGGGTCTCAAATAAATAAAAAAATTAATTATTTAAATAATATATAAAATTATACTAAAAAATAGTACAAAATAGTTGTTGTAAAAAGTAATACAAAATAATTATCCA